GTCTTTACGTATAGGAGACTCGATCATTCTTGTTTTTCTAATAACTATGACGTCATAGCAATTGGCGTCACGACGAAATAAATGAAGCGTGTTTATCATTGTTGTTACTTTGGCCAGTATTATTTTCTGTTTAAGTAGGTGTATATTATTAATGTAGATGCTGTTACTCATACACCATATATATGTTAAGATAGATACATAATATATTATGTATCTAACTTAACATACTCTGTTTCAGTAAAAGCTATTTTTTCTCATTTATATTTTGGCCTTGTAAAATTTCATCCCATCACACCATTCCGGATATATGTTCAATTCTTTTATCGTCACTGCTATCAGCTTTTGGAAAAATAATCTTGTAGAACTATACAGTGCACCCATTAAGCCTATTTTTAAAGGAAAGCTTTTCAAATAAAACAAGCTCTAGCTACAATTTATTCAATATTTGCTATATCTCATAATGTAATAAAAATAAAAGTATTGTTCACTTATTATATGTGTATTTTCTATGTATTATGTGTATGTATAATTATTTTAGTATGATAAAATAATTATTTTACATATTTTTCATCACCACTACCCTCCATGGAGTTTCTGGTGGTTTCTTTCCTAATGGTTAGCTGGTAGAGAATGCCATATGACATTAAGTACGCTACTTGTACAAAATTTAACTGTGCAATAAAGAATAAATAAATAATAATAATAATGGAATGGGCACAGAATTACGGTCGATGGAAAAAGTATAATAGGAGTACTTTACCTAAAAAGGGCTAAAAGTTCCGTCTAACTTCACATATTTCCATGCCATATTTATTGTAATATTGAGCATTATAGTACTACCTACCCATTATTGAGAATAATATGCTTCTGATAGACACAGGACAAAATTAACTAGCAATATTTGCTGAGCTTACAATTAATCGTTTAAGAAACTTCGCCGTAAAGTTACGGCCTTTAATTAATAGGGTGAGCCATAAATTCTCATGTGCATGGTGTGGTGCGTCTAAGAAACTATTAAGGCAATATTTTAAGGACGTAAACTGCGTTCGGATATTTGATAAGAGTTCATATATCCGACTTAATTTTTGACTCATTTTAAAGCCTTGAATAATGAACTTATTACTTGACTGCGAATAAAAAAATGGTAATGTTTTGGCATATATTTCTATATTATATTAGTTTTTCGAATTTCGAATGGCAAAAACGTGGCTGATACCTTGGGTATTACATTTGATATCTGTAGTGCTGTTCATGTTTATTTCCGAGAGTTATTATTTTCCGTGAAATGGGTCATCACCTTATTTGCCATTTTAAATAATATAAAAAATAACAAGTAACGGCTTTTTGAGACTAGTATATAATACATAACGATAGTCTAAAATGAATGTAAATATTATATTGTCGATGACATATTCTTCTAGACATATACAGACATATTCTCTTATGCATCTCAAATGTCTTTAACCGATCGGAAATTTATTTTAGCTATTGAAGTGCTTTGACTTTTTCTTATGCGCTAAATTTTCATTTTGAAAGAAAGCAACCAAACACTTATTGAAGGATTTTGTTGCTTTCTTTAGATAATATTTTTTATTTTTTTTTAATTTTTCAGTACAAGAAAATTATAAAGATGGATATATGTAATTGTATTTAGGCACGTTTTACAAAATAAACTATTGTAAAAACAAGTGTGTCAAATGTTAAAATATCTTATTTGATCTCTTTTTAGAACCTTCTATTTAACTTGCAATGTTTATTTAGATCAAATATGGCAAGTTGGATTAAAACAGCTTCTAAAATTTACTGATTTATCTCTAGATTAGTTTCTATATGTCTAACGACGACTTCTCCAATCAACCTGTCCAATTACTTTTCCTTTATAATTGTTACCACACGTATTAGACTATGAGAGTTCCCATAAACGTAACAGTATATTTATTCTATAAAGCCCATAGTACCATCAGGCAAGATAATTGTAAACGTCTGTTATCTAAAATAAGTCTTAAAAGAGAAGTAAATAATGATTATCATAAGAATGTCTATTAATTGAGATGAGTGAAAATTCTAAGAATGGAATTGGGGTAAAGTCACGATATTCCTTTTTATTTTGGAATATATAACAATATACTTGTATATGAAAAGCGAGTAAATCCGAATTTTTACTCATTCTCCAAAGCCATTCACTTTAAAGATATTTCATCTCATTTATCATCGATCGAGGGTAAAAACGAGGAGTGGGTAATTTTTCTAAAAGAAAGAACATTGACAACTCACTGATTGATATATTGGAGTATTCTTCCACGAATTTTAACGTACTTATTTACAGAGCAATATATTTTTTCTTAAATAACATGCAAGATCAAGTTTTTGACGAAATTTAGTAGTGTAAAGAGATCTTATCAAAGTGGACACTACTTCAAATGGATAATTAGTATCAAAAGGTGAAAATTTTGAAATTGAATATTATCTATTTTTAAACGAATATTTGATTAGTAATTGATTAGTAGTACGCAATTGTACCTACTTGAATGTTTGGATCATTGAATGATTATTTTATAATTGTCAGTTTAAATTCATGTTTAAACTTTTAAAATTACATAATATTTAAATCAATACAAACATTTAAAACAATTGATTATTAAACAGCTAAATATTTTATCGTTAAAAAGTTTATAAGAATCTATATTATTATAATTGTAAAAATAACAAATTGACTTACGTGTAAGTAATAGTGCCATTGTAATAGTGCTAGTGACGCTGGACAAAAATAGACGTAAGTCAATACGGTTATTTTTATAATGAATGATTTTACATTCATTATTTATACAACAATTATTTTAAAATGTATAATATATAAAGAATGTTATTACATCTTTGTAGATAAACTTAGCAAAATGTTAGTAAATTAGGTGTGTAAAAAATTTTATTAGGATATATATAAATATTTTTTTTATTGTGTAGCAAATATTAAGTTCGTTCGTTTTTAATTAAATTCATTTGGTGCAGAATTAAACCGGTATTAATATAAATAATTATTATTATAAATTATAAGTAACCATATTTCAATAAATAAAAAAATAATTGAAATCAATCCTAAAATAACGAACATAACATAAGACATATCTACACGTACAAACACAATCGAATTGGAAACCCTATTTGGAAGTCGACTGAATATTAGAAAGGTTATAAAATCTGAAATATATTACACACGAAACTCCCCGAAACATCCACATTTTATAACACAGTTCGCTTACAAATAACCTGCAGTCAGATTGAGTGAGAGACTGACATATTTCAGATTTCTCCGAGGCGACTTCAGAATATTGATCAGTGGAATATCTCATACCGCAGTGCCAGATGCTCACTGAAAATTACTTTCAAATAAATCTGCTGAACTTGTAAGAGAAACGACACACTCTATAAGGTTCTCGTTTCACGATAACGTGACGAATAATAATGGAAATTATAATTGAGTTACAAGTCATGTCTTCGTAATGAAGTTAAAATGTTCGTTGATGACAGCATTACGTGTACGAATGATGTTTTACGATTAGATTCGCACTGTGTAATGATTTGAAGCGAATTCTAAAGGAAGATATTCTGAATACGACAGATTTTATATTTTATACGACACCATTCCCTATTTCAAAACCGATTTTGATCATTATTTTTATAGTAAAAAATACGTATGGAACTATTTATTTTAGCAAGATTGAGATTGCGTTTTTTTTATTTTATTTCAAATCATGTAAGGCGCAATAATTCTAAATATATTAAACAATCAATTAAATAAGTTATTTTTTCGTAAGAAGACATAGTCACACATCTGAACCTATACTCTGTATGATAGAATAATTAAAGATTGTGTCCAACAAAAATCCCACTTCATATGTGTTTTTTCTTTTATTCTTAGTGGAATAATTGCCGTGTGGTCCCGGCATATAATAAGACACCCCTTGTATAGGTATCATCATTATTTAAAATGTACTTTATTTGAGACTTTATATAAATTTATCTGGATAGGTGATCTGTCTCACTCTTTTTCTGTCACCGAATAGCTACGTCGGTTTAATTGTGATGTATTTTAATTTTAACGCTACATATTTGACAGATAAATACATGCCATCTCATTGCACAAGAATGGTATAGCGTTAGTTTACGACCACATTCCTGTTTGTGTCTATAGGCGACGGTTATCACTTTCTATCGGGTGATTTATTTGCCTTCTTAATTCGTTATAAAAAAAAAAAAAAAACTTCTTACTGCCCACTAGATTCTATACCATAGACTTTTCGCGGAATATTTATTTCAGGTTTTGGTCTTTGACACACAATGGTTTGTCTTTGCTGGTTCCAACTATTATACTGAATATTAAAACATTATTTTATATACCTAGGTTATTAAATTTGTATTATAGATTTTTATTATTTAGGCTCCCCGTACTTTCTATTAGATTGAAAAATGGAATGTTGGGAATATATTGAAAATAAATTCAGTACTACGTATTTTGAGTACAATTTTATTTCAAATGTCATAAAATGATATCAACATCTTAAAGTTAACATTGATAAATAGTTTCATCCATGCTAATAAATAAGTTGACATGAATTTAACTATGTACAAATACGGTTATTATGATTGTCATATTTATTGTCATGAATTTATAAAACATGTATATATTATATAAACCTAAGTAAATTAATGACTCAATTTATATCTATCTCTCTCTCTCTCTCTCTCTCTCTCTCTCTCTCTCTCTCTCTCTCCCTCTCACTCCTAAAAGATTCATTACATAAAGTTTACATTCATGTCAAATAAAAAAGAAATGTAAAAGATTTTCCATTACAAAGTTCCAATACATTAATTTGCAAATTTCGGAAAAGTGAATTAGTATGTATATTGTTGTAAATTATAATAGTTAATCGTTGATACATTATTCGCATAGAAAAAAGGAGAAAAATGATAGATTATCAACGAGTCATATTCATGTTACCCGAGTCAAAGTAGGACGCTTTAAAACACAAAAATTGGAAAAAATTTTTTCCAGAGTGATGCATATACTTTATACACATATGAGGAAATTTTAACATAATTATTTACATATTCCATTGTTTATAAGTTGTTACAACTTTTAAAATACTTAGTAATGTTTTTATTATAATAATATTATTCTTCTTGGGTATCCATCTCATTTGCACTTATTAGCAAATTATTTACGAATAATATAATGTACTATTTTTCTATTATGATAATTCGAAAACATGTCTCCTTTACTTTTACGTATCTAATTTCCGTTTCGACATGGTATTGTTAATACATATATAAATAAACACTAGATATCTACGGGATATGAATACGCTACGTTCCATTGCCGGGAAATCACTTATTGAAAAAATAACAGGTCATCACGTGTAAAACATATACAATTATGTCGCAAATTAATATGTTATTTTATTGTTAAAATTTTCGTAAGTACACATTATAATTTAATATAATAACTACCGGTTTCACTTACGTGTAATTTGATTGGGAAAGTTCGACTAGTTTCGAGACCATTCGGAACCCTTAATCTTGAGAAGCTGTTACGCGACACACGTAAGTTCAAGCGATAATTATTATATAAAAATATTATTATGTTATTATTCAGCTATACATAACTCTTGTAATTATTACTTGATATTATTTATTGACCAGGATAAAAAATATCGTCTATAAATCGCAAATACATACACAAGCCCAATTTTGTGACAGTTAATTGAGTTGTTAAGTTGACATTAGGTGACAAGCAAACTACATGATCACATGATCTGTTTACATTCATATACCTAATAAAAAAAATGTATAAAAGATAGCTGTTTGGATAAACAGATTTAAAAAAAAAAAAACTCATAATATTCATAGTGAAATTGATTTATATAATATGATTTTATTATATTTATACCTTTGTCATATTATTTTATCATACACCGCGAACCTAGCATCAACTAAAGTCTCTCATTTAATATAATTACTACTCCAATAAAATTGAACAAAACACTCATATACAATATTATAAATAGATTCATTAGGCAATAGAATACATGCATAAATAGAATATTTTTACAGTAGAATTTTTATACTTATCAAAATTCATAATCTCATAACTATCGCTACGATAAATTCTTTCTCAATACTTATATAAACTACTTTTATATGAAGTCCAAAAGGAACTCCGCTTGCTACCACTTAAAACTCATATATAAACTTGAGTGAGCCAAATATATTATTTTAATATACTATCCGGAAGACATAAATTTATTACATTATTACATTTTATATCTAGCACTCTCCTTTTTGAGATTTATAACCAGTGATTTTGAAAATATTACTTTTATTCATTATTCGTATAATTTTACTTTAAGTATTTTGATAATTGTTTGAAATAAAAACAATTGATAGCAAAAATTAATAAATTTTACAATTTTTTTTTTATAATTATGAAGAACATTTATATATGATCTTGTAATTAAGTTTTAATCTGTTTATCCTGTTGTTAATGAAAATGTTCATTTTTTTATTGTTTTAGCCTCTTTTAAAACATATTAACGTTCGTTGTTAATATATTATTGAGCAAAATTTAAAATAATTCTGCTAAATCGGTCAAATAAATTATATTTTCTATGTCTATACATGCAGTTATTCAGAATCTAATGATACTTATATTGGTCTATCTTATTTATTATATTAATACTTAATACTACGGGCTATTGTCTTTACAATCGTATTGTCATACAGATTTCTAAAATATTAATTTACAATTATGTATTATTTATTCATGAACAATTAGAAAATTATATTTACAGTATTAAAAATCATACAGAATGAACTAATACAAGTTTTTATTGTATAAAACCTGACTAATTCAAGGCCACTATATCATGATCAACTTTTTAATTCCTGTTCAAAAAAGCAAACGATATTTTTTTTAATTTTTGTTGTCTCACACTAATGATTTATCTTTAAAATTTAAATTCTTACTTTAAAATGTAATGAACTGTAAATAATTAAAATTGTTGTTTAATTAATCATTTATTTATAATTATGAAATAAATAAAAATATTAGAACGCATTAATTATCTAGATTATATTAAACTATTAATTATTTCAAATAATATGATTGAATTAATAGAAAATAGTGAGTTGATAATATATAGTATTTAGTTGATTAGGTATATAAATCGGATGTTTTTAACTTTCGTATTTATATGATCGTACTATGACTTTGTACGATTGTCTGTATATATATATTGTGAAAATTGATATGATATTCGTGATATTTTTTAATTTTATGGGCTTAGCACCCTAGAGTGTACTCAATTCTTAATGAAACTTCAATATTGTGTATTATAATGAAACTGAATTATAATTTATAACTCCATTATAAAAAGGAACTAATACCTATATAAATATATATATTAAGTCCATAATAAAAAAAAAATCACTAGAATATCAAAAACAATAGAGTTGACATCATCATATTTAATACAATACGTAGGTACAGTTTAAAAGTCTATTAAAGTAAAATGAATATGTAATTTCTTCAAGATTCAAATTAAATACGATTTTAAGATGCAATATCCAATTAATTCTTACAAAATTATTTTATAGGATCATCACTATCGAATTGATTATCCATTCTTTATTGTCTCAATTTACAAATAAGGCTGAAAATATGAACCCTCAAAATGTACACAACAATGTCAACATTGGATGTACTAACTTACAACAACCTCAATATACGTACTTACAAAATTCAACAGCCATGTTTCCACTACCTAGTAGTGTAATATATATAGTAAAATTGGTATATATTAAGTAAAATATTTTTATACAACGAGTTTTATTATCTTAGCGAGTAGGTCGAAGATGGATAGGTGATGTAAACGGTTAGCTTTATTGTACACGACATGAGGTCGAGGCGGTCCAGACGGGCGTACTTTTTGTCGCTCAGTCCTTTGGGCATATTCGTTGTGGCTGTTATTGGCTGGGCTGTACGCGTTTATATTGTAGAAATTGAATGCGTTGTTGAGTTCAGCTTGACGCATGTCTGAATCAAGGGTGTTCTGGTTGACGCGTTCGTGCGGCTTCTTGAGGTGGCGTTTTGGTGGGCGCGTTGTCGTCGTTGTTGTTGTTGGCGGCTCAGTTGTTGTTGTGGTTGTTGTTGTTGTAGTCGTCGTGGTGCGTTGTGGTGTTTCTGTTGAAGGTGGAAAATGATTCATTTTATATATTATATGCAATTGGTTATCATAAAAGTTTTATATTTATATAAATTATATCATTTCCATTTCTATCAATTATTTTATACTAGAACATTTCGCATATTCTTGAATATCTGCCATATGCATATATGATATTCCAGTACACAACAATGCATGGTTTCGGCGTAGAATGGGCCACCCCATCCTTTCCCATGGGTGTCGTAAGAAGCAACTAAGAGAATTTAATGATCAAGGGTTGGACAGCAGTGTCCCTGTTACAATGATCAACAAAGCCTAACTGCGGTTGCTAACTCGCCTGCTCAGCATGGCAAAAAATAGCAATATCTCCCAATGGCAAAGACAGTCTGTGGAGGAAGCTTATGTTCTACAGTGGATAATTAACAGCTAATATGGAGATGATGATAATAATGACGATATAATAAGATCATTAAGCTAGAAAAGGTTGTGTAATAAAAAATCAAAAACCACACGAGGATCCAACTTTTACCAAGTTTTCACCCAAGCAAAAATTGAGAAGTTTGTTTCGTAGATCCCAACTTTGATCTTGAGTTCTTACGACCTCTAGAACTATATACTGATATCAGAATTTTTCATCAAATAGAACTTTCGACTGGAATTCAATCACCAATGGTATTCATAGACATAATAATTGGCATCATATCAATTACATACGAATACAGAGCCGGTACGCTTGGTATGATACGTGCCCAAAAGCGCTTACAAATGATTAAATCAATTATTTATTTTTAATTCATGCACCATTGATCGCTGAGTTGAAGTTCAGAATAATAGCAGATTGAATGCCTTTGTGTTTTAATATAGGGATGCAATTACTGGTGAGTGAATCCATGTACCGTAAATTTGTAGTGTTGAGATAGATATGCTAGGTATTTTGATATCTATAATAGGTATTTTATCTAATAATAATGACCTAATATAGGTAAATTTTTAGATTAGGTAAATGTATTTGTAACATCCAAAAACAAAAAAATATGGCAAGAATTTATTGTTAATATCATCTATCTAGCCTGACTGACTGACGGAGCCGAATTTTTTTATGCAACATGAAATAGCTAAGAAACTTACGACCCACGTGATAGAAAGGAGTCACCATCACCTATAAACTTAGTTAACACAAATTACATTGTGTTTGCCCACGGATCACTTTATAGGTTTCCATTTCTGAGATGTTATGCCTCTGTACCCTATAATTTTACTGCCGTATTCCACTCTTCAAGTTGAAACAACGAGAATGTTGGCACAGCTGAACATACAAAAAAAGTAAATATACAAAAAAATGAAAATTTCCTTTTTTAAAGTTGGTTAAATGCTTACCTTTTAATGTAACTGTTCCCTCAGTCTTTCCATACGCATTGACAGCCGAGCAAACGTACTCCCCAAAGTCGCTCTTCCTCAGCCGGTTAATGGTCAAATTCATTCGTAATGAATATTCATTTATAATTTGCTCTGATATGGTGTACTTTGCACCGTTTAGTAGTCTCCCACCTAAGACAAAAACATATTTCTATATTTTGTTTTTAAAAATAAAACATATAAATATTAATTTCCGTCTTTTATAAAATGTGAAATATCAAGGCCGAAAGTCTAAAATTTAATATTTAAATATATATAAACAATACTTATATATAGAGCATTTTGTTTTAGTTACAATTTATGTTATGTAATGTGTGTTAAATAAATAAAATATACTAGCATAGATTTTATGATTCTAATCCTTAATGGGATAGTCTGAGCCATTTGTTAACTATTACTCTTATAGAAAACGCACACTCGTTGTAGACATGATCACATTTCTCTGAGTATATTAGAATCCAATGAGATATTATACGAAAAATATCGTAAAATAAAAATCATAGGTATTTTATTTCTTACATTGGTAGACCTACTTAAAATATCGAACTAGTTCTTAGTATGTCTGTATCTAATTATTCCGCTCTAGTAATCTCTACTAATTGGAATTTCGTATTGTCTGTAATACGATAAACTAGAAAGCAGTTATTGCTTGTAGCCTTCAAGTTAAACAAACTCGTAAGTATAGTTTTGTTATATATTTTAGTCACCAATACATACGGTACAAGATTAGATCCTATATTTAATCTACAATACATAATGCTCTATATGACAAAACATACTACTTTATATTTAATTTGGTAGTTTTTCTCTGTTCATAGTTTTTTTTATGATAGATAGGCTATTATGTCTTGGGACATTTTATGTACTATTATATTATACATATCTATGCAAATGGCTGCGTTACAGAGATGTTTCGTGTGTTACCTCGAAATGAAGGTTCCATATTTTTAGACATATTTATTTACTATATGGATATGTATATTTAAATCAAAAACATTTAGTATAGACTCAGTGGTTCGCTTCGCTTTCTATACATAGACAAGGAGGTGCCTTGTGTTCTTGAAGTCCATATACGGTTTATTTTGTTTATCGATTACAGATACGTACTTTTGACATATTAGCCTCTACACTATTAACTTTTAAAAATATTGACAATGTTAAATTAAACATTAAAACTTACCAGCTTCTGACATATCTCGCTGCCAACTATTGAGGGACTTAGGTGATGCCTCAACGTAGCATTGTAAGCTGACTGTCATATCAATTGAGCGTAGTACTACTGGACTGTCCACTCGTATTATCGGCTCAACTAAAATAAAATGTTGTTACCATCACTGAAGAGTTAGCCAAAGGATATGTATATAAATAAGGAAGAGACATTCTAAGTAAAAAAGGTTAACTATAAATTAAGCCAACTCAATTAACTTAACACAAGTCTTGTCCAAAAGTTTCGTTAAGGATCGGAGTTGGATAGGTACTTTGTTTCCCGACGCCTCACAAAATTACTTCTGAATAAATTCGTTGTAAGATTTAAGTATTAGATTCCCCCAAAGCTTCGAGTCAACGACGTATGGCTGCCCCTGTTTTGATTACACAGTGACAACTGACAGAGGTCCCGAAGTCTCCGAAAGGAAATTTCAATTTCACAAAAATTTATTCAAAAAAGGAATTTAGAATTATTACACGATTTAAAAGCTCTTTATTAATCTGAAATGGATTTATAATTCTTAAAAGTTTAATACCTTATCAATTCACGTATTCTGTTAATGTAATCAACTATTTAGATATAAAAATAACTGATCTAACACATGATAGGAATAAAATACTTACAAAGTACAGACACCTCGTACCGTCGACTTTTTGTAGGTGGTATGCCGTTTGCTGCGATGCATAGGTAGGTACCCATATCGCTACGCTGTAGGCCCTTCAATAACAACGTGGAGCCTACGTAGCTATCCACAGCTAGTAAAAAAAGAGACGAAGAGTATTACAATTTCATATTGCAAATAATAACGAAAATTTACTGACATGAACATTATTATTTATAATAGAACTGGATAATATAGTTATAACTGGTTAAATACTCATAAATTATTCGCATTAAAAGTTCCATAGCTTTTAATGCTTATTTAAACATGGATAGATGAGGCTCTAATAAGTAACTTCAAATTTTCGTATTCGAATTAATATTTGATCATATTTTACCCTCAGTTAAAAAAGTGTTATGTCAAAAAATACTGGATAGTATTTGTATTATAGTAGAGTTTTTTCCAGTAGTTGCTATGCTTAGCAGGCGGGTTGGCGACCACAGCTAGGTTTTTAGAGATGTTTTAAGAGGGATGCTGCTGCCTATCCCTCTACCAGTAAGTTCCTTTAGTCACTTTTTACAACATCCACAGGAAAGGAAGGGACGGTCTATTCTATACTGGAAACACAAGGACGAAATACATAATAATCGACGCTAACGTTCTTGGGGAAAATTGTAATTAGTATTTTGTAGTATATACTTTTACTACGATATTTTATTAAGATCGATCAGGTGCGAGTTGATCTCATACGACGAGGGTTCTGTACAGAAATACATAAACATGAGATAAAATAACTGTTACTGCATTTCTTATATGAAATAAATACCTAATAGTTATTACTATTAATAGTATTTCTTAATTTCTATTTTGGGTCATAATTGTGATAAAAAACTGAACTGCATAACTTGTTCTTTTAGTGCGTAAATCTAAACTAGCTACAGGTATAACGTTCAATATCAATATCATTATAATTACTATTGAAAAGTTTACACATTACCCAAAAATAAAAGTTGGTAGGTCGGATAGAACCAGTTTATATTCAACCTTAAGGAAATGTTTTCCTGTATCTTTTGTATGAAACAACATCTATTGTGATTCATTTACAATAGGAAGCTTTATCGATATATTTTGTTAAACAAAAAATATGTTCCGTTTTCAGAAATACGTTATTTATATATTATTGAATTTAAAATTACAATACAGTAACGTCGAAAGTAAAATTGAAATTTGAAAAGAAAAATCTCTGCGGTTTTATACCGCTATATGAACAAACTTCAAATTTCTCAATAACCTATACAAAAGTGAAATTACTTCGTGATAAAATCTAAAATTAAAGTGTTATAGAAAAATCATAGTGACCAATCAAACTTAAAGGATTTATAAACTGAAGAAAGACAAACGCAATACATAACAATACATAAAATCCCACAAGATGTAGTGATGACCTCAAAGGTGTCACAGGAAGTTAATGCTTCATAATTGTCCTCGTGATAGTCTATGGAGAATTTCTAGATTCATATGTACACAACAAGAAGCAAAAAATTTTAATACAATGCTGTAATACATAAACTCTTTTTAAAATTTGATAAAATTGATGAATGATAATGTAATACAATTTTGATTAAAACTACTACTAATAAAATAATATGAGAATTTAGTACAGACAAAGCTTAAAGAGGATATAATTAATAATTATAAGTTCTTCTATTTGAATATCATATTGACTATTTAATATCAAATTAAATAAATCTTTGGTCAATCTACATGTTTATCACATTTGTTAATTTTATTCGACACAAGCTGTCTTTGAAAGTACTCCCCACTAAACCTTATCTAAAGTGTTCTTTATAATGTTGTTTGGCATAAAATTTAATATAAAAACTTCAAATTGAAATTAATTTAATGAAATAAAAGTGGACTCTATAGAGCCTTTAATTTGGGTTTAAAATAATAATATACAATGAAAAACGTATGTAAACATTCAAGATATTTGATAAAATTTTATAGCGTACAAAATATACATATCTATATGCTCTTTCAATAACGCATTTCTAGTAGCGTGACACTGACAGTGACACAATTTTGTAATAAATTTCGTGTGATACCGCAGTGAGATTTGAAGCGAACAATATCATTATGCAGATTTGTATAAATGTTCTATTGAATCTATAAATGATAAGGTAAAGATGATATTGCATTAAAAGTAACAGAATTATTTACAATTATTTCTATCGATGAACATAATATAGACTTAGTATAATTATTAGTAATCACGTTCTGACCGATGGAAAATCACAAAAATGAGACAAAAAAAGTTTAACTAATTTGCGTGTTTTGTAAAAGTATTTATGTGACTAATTTATATAGAACTAAAGTTAAAAGAATAACAAAACTCATGTATTTATTATAATTTTTAATTCAATTTGTGGATAATAACTTTATTTGGGTTTAGTGAGATATTTTGTCCACCATTTCTTGTTAAAAATATTTCTGTTTGTGCTATTATATTGCGTTTAAAGACATAAATGTTAAAAGCATAATTACGTTCAAAATTGTGCAATTTGGTGGTTTCTTAATTCACATTTTACTTAATTTTAACGAATTACGTTCACATAAAACTAATTCCAGTTCAAAATGTAAAAATAATTAGAACTTATTTTGTTCATACTCCCGCCAAATCTGCTTCGAGCTTATATTGTGTACATTAATGATATATTTCTTTATCTCGCTTTAACATATATGTTATTATGTTTTTTCTTTTTTACATTTCCATCTATATACTTTATAATCTAAAGATGAATATATTACGTAACACACAACAGATACATTCGAAGTAAGAACGCCCTTTTTGAAATCGCCTATTTATTGCACGTCGTAAAGACCCAAACTAGATAGCAATAAAAACTGATGGTAACATTCATCGACATTTATAGATATTTAGTATACAAACATTTTACACTTTATTTACATTCTCTAACTAATATGTTATAACCACAGATAATATAATGTTATATCAGTATTATAATCAATCATTAAAGTCAGTTGAAAGGCTGTAAAGCGAAGGACCCATGAGTTGAGTAAACGGTAGTGTCATCTAGATATTTACTTTAACATTTCTATACTCTACAAGCGTTGATATCTACCAATTTACATGTAAGCAACTAGTTTTAGCTGATTATACCTACGCCTATAATTTTAAAGAATAAATTTAACACGATAATGGCACAATGATTATTTTTTCGACGTTGACTGGTGGAGTTATGGGAGCTGTGGTAGTACTAAGCAAGTTATAGTGCGATTTGCTCATGTTTCTAGCTACTTTACGTTTTCAATTATAGTGCTCTACCAAAATCTCTGTCTATATTGATATAGGTAGCTTTTTATTGATGAAAATATAATGGTATACCTATCTAGATTACTTGTTTACACTGGCCCCTGCCAATGTAAACTTTACCAGTGAGATATAATTAGACAAAGATGAAGTCAGGTTAGTTAACTTATGATACCCAGTTTTGGTTATAGATCAGAAACACAATGGTTTCCTAAGAAAACTACACAGATATTAACCTAACAGTGTAAATAACTGGGAAAGAAGCCATTAGTCTTTTTTTGTTAACAATCGCTTCTTTTTTAATCGAGTTAGTAGTCGAATTAGTATTTTATTGTACTACCATACCACTCTATCCGTATGTACTTGCCTTAAATGATAATGAAACGCTAGCTGAAGAGTTAATCAAACAGTAACTGAATTATGGTTTCTTAAACAAATTATGGCTTGCTCCAGTGTTAAACTGTTGTTGATCTAAGATAAACAACAACATTGTCTCGCTGATTACGTGAAGCGTATTGAAAATTATTTTTAATAAACTGAATGTAATATTCAATTTCATTATCTCAATACATAAACAGTCTCACATGGTATAGTAATAAAACTTTGTAATCATACATTCATCGTTCATGTTTAATAACTTTTTAAATGTTCCTTTTCTATTTAAAGATTATAATTTTATATATAAAAACAGATATGACATAATAAAATAAACTGATGATGGCATTAGAATAATGTTGTGATGTTCAAAATATTATGTATAATTAATAAGTAATATACTGTATTAAAATATGTAATGTATGTATATCTACAATCAGTAAGTAGAATGGTTTTATATTCATATGAAACCGGATAGTCTAGAAAGGTTAATTTTTACAAACAGAAAGAAGAATAAAGGATGGACGTCAGCGAGATGGCCTGATACAGTTCAGAAGGCTGCTGGACTTATAAATAAATGCTACCTTATAAATAAACTATCCTGAAAGTAACCTAGTGGTATAGACAACCGTAAACTTGCCCTTCAGTAACGATAAGAAAACTAAGAACAAAACTTGATTCATATTAATATGTATAGATAGGTAAAAAAGATCATATAGTTTCTATGGTACAGATGATGTGTTACTAAGTAAACATTTGTGTAACTTGATATACCTATTGCGGTCTTGAGAAAGTTCCCTAATGTAGTTAAAAGTTTAAACGATGTTGTTACGACCTTAGACGCTACAATGTGTTTATCTTAGTTCCAAAACTATTCGCTGATGCATAATTACAATAGCTGACTGGTATACTGCTATTTCATAGTTGATATCGTCCCCATGAGAACACTAACCGCTCAAGTTCAGCTGCTTAATAAATTAATTCCAGCATCACTAATTACATCGCAGTACTTTAATCAAAACATTGTGCTAGCAACGCGCCATTTAGCGCTGTCAAATTAAATTTAAATGGTAATAATTTATTACTTTATTATAGCACACGACCCCCCCGCTCCTAAATCTCGGGCGGAGACATAAAATACTGCTAGTACGTAGCGCGTAATATCAAAAGCGGGTCTTGTATGAAATTGTGTTTTATTAACGGGTTATAAAGTCGGGTTGCGACATGTCGTTGCCAACTTGTTACCGACGTCGACGTCGGCAGCGATTCAGCCATTCGCCGTTATTATTGCTCGCGAACTAATTGTTTTCCGATTTAATCCTGAACAATTTTCCTCAGTAAGCAGAGTTTATTTTTATAATTAACTGAAGCAACCATTTCGAAATCAATTAGTGCGAATTCGTTAATTAATTATTTTATGCTTGAATGATTTTTATTAATGAAGGTAAAATATAAAGCTTCATGTATAATGTAGGCAATCTATTCAAACCGTAGAAAGACGAGGAATGGGGTAATTTACATATAAGATCTTATATATTCATTTTCTATAAAATTTGAAAATATATAAAATAAATAGGCTATTTTGTACTGTAATAGGATACTTAATTGTAATACATTTCAAGTTTACTGCATGCTGCTTTGTTATTCCCAATTATGACCAACTTTATTGTTATTCTGTGAATTTGGCATGCAACAAAGTCTATATTATACTAAATCCCTTTATCTCTTGTTCTACTTCAATTCGGTGAAACTAAAGTTCAGAATAACATGTAAGGTAGTGACCTAGATATTTTTTGCCTGGTTTTGGTAGATATTAATTATTTATAAACTTATTTCTATGTAAATGTACTGTATATTTGAATTAGATGCAGAAATAGCTATTGAGTAATCATACGGAAAAATTGTGTTTTTCGAGTAGGTACACGTTTTTTTGCTGTTTTGTACTAATTTTTCCCCCTTTTACTGTTGTATTGCTGATATTGATTATTGACTTATAATTTATAATCATCGTTTGAAATCAAATTTTCAAAAACGAAAAACAGGAAATAAAAATATTTACAAGTATTTAATGTATATAGTAAAATAAATTGTTTTACTAATTTTAAACTACATATTTACTAAACCTATGCATTTACTTAGAATAAACTATAAATTGTAAATTTTTGTTTATATATATATTGATATAAATATATAAATAATACATACATTTTTATTACAAAACCCATTAAAAATACTTTTATATTTTTTATTACATTAATTCTACCTTTCGTTAACTAATGAAATAACCGGTTTTCCATAATAAGTTAGTTAATTAAGTCGACTATCGTTAGTGCTTCCCACGATGTTCGTCGCATCCCCACGCTGCCAGATAACTAATTAATTAATCACGTAAGTATTTATGCTTTATATATAATAAGATTTTTCATACATAAAACTCTAATGTAATGTATTAAAATATATTTTATATTGCTTTCCAAAACCTAATTAATTTAATTTTGATTTAACATTCTCTCTTATGGCCGATGATGATGATGATGATAATGATACTCTTCTCTGCACATTTTGTTATATAAGATATTGTATACTATGTAGATCTCTAAAATAATCTTTTGTTATTATAGAAATTCCTCGAATCAGTGGTTGTTAAATTTCAAATTATGACATTAGTTTGGACTGTTTATTAATAATATCAACTAGTCAGTTTCTTTATACTAGATACATATTTCCATTATACACGAGAAATTTTTTGATCATTAATCAGTAATAAGCCATTTCAAAATTATATTTCAAAGTTGACCAAGATGCGATAAAGAAAAGTGTACATTCGAAAGTTGTGTAGGAACATGATAGGTAAAAAAGCATCTATATCTGACATTTTTTAAATGTCGACTGTAAATTTTGTTATTACTGATCGAAGCTTAAGACCATGTTTAATAAAATTGAAAATAAGTACGTATAGAAAATGTTTAAAATTGCTGTTCGGTAAGAGATTTCTTTTTCCTCCTTGATATATACAAAAAAGAAAAGAATGGTTCAATACTGAGTAACACAGTAAATCTTTCTCATTTAGTGAAGCGTGTATAACATGCCCAATTAATACAAAGCCAGAGCTATGCTGGCCCCACCACTCTGTTAACTATTACAACCTCCCTCGCTACAGAAGCCCACCAGTCTTTTGTTTATGCTTAATGGCTTAAATAAAACGGGTCAAATTCGTAAAACAACGCTCTGAAAAGGTTTTAAATAGCCCTTGGGGACAAGCAATTTCGTTAGTAATACATTTATATTAAGGTATAAATTAGAATGTGGGATTATGCGATTTAAAGGACAACAGCGTATGTATGTGTCAAAATGACTAGTCCTATAATTGCTTTAAACTCTTGTCTCTTCACCTACTATTTCTGCTGGACCAGTAAAGGGTAGGTCATTATAACTATAGTAGATAAGAACCTTTTGTCAGGCCGATTTTCACTAAGCCGTTCGTTTAATTTCCTGACCGAAACCCGGATTGCTACAATATTTTGTTTAAGTAGTAATTGAGTTCTTTGAACACGTTTTTTCCACGGAAATGAATCCCAGTGATGGCTGGGCCCGCTTACTTTTGTAATGTAAAAATGTTGACAGCGCATTCCACTGAGCGGTGGAGAATAAAGGAAAATAAATGTCTAAGTGCTCATTGAAGCACAAGTCCGAATAAATAAATTTCGTTATTAGGTATTAGAAAAAAATAAAATTAATTGGCATCAATACAGCAATTGAATTATTTAAATAAGAAATGGTCAGAGTTTGATCACATATACTGTGGATCAAGAAATAGCATTTTCATAGCACTGTCACTTCTTACACCAGACTGTTACTAATATGTAATATCCTTATTTTTAAGCAACTAATTACTACTATGGAGGATATTATATGGAGGACAAGGTACATTTTTTGTATCTAACGTGATATCTTTGCCAATTTTGAACTTATGTTATTTTTTTTAGATACCTATTCGATTTTCTATTTATATGCAATATTCTGAATCTATAATAGAACTTTAATTTATAATTTTTTATAATTACATCATTATTGCCTCGCTTTTGTCCATTTCCTTTTTATAATATATTATTACACGAATAATGATTCAGTTATAATAATAAAGTAGGGTTTTTTCCTGCCTCTTTTCGATATTGTGGATATATCCGGGTAATCTCATGACGATATCTTCATTACGTCACTTCATTATAATTACACCATAAAAATATGTGGTATATTATATGATATATATGTTGTTGAATTTTTGGATACTTAATATTCAAATAGTTTTAAACAGTTTACAAGATTTAAATGAAATTTGGTACATAGATAGACCATATCCATAATTAGGTATAGGCATATTTTATCCTGATTTATTATATGTATTATTTACAATATTTATTATTGTATATAAGCATATTCCTTATAACAGAGTTCCAATTAATCATATGTTTATATAGAATATATTTATACATTTTATATTAAGATTTCCAAGTAAATGTATGCCTGAAATACTGATGATAATAATAAAAAATAATAAATGATACTGTCACAAAAGATAATAAAATAATAACATAAACAATATTTAAGATTATTTAAAAGACTTTACATCCAATACTTGTAAGTAGAAAACCTAACAAATGGGTATCTAATTTATACTCAGAGATAATAACGTCGCATAAAATGCTTTACTCACTCCATTTAATCATTATTCAGCCGTCATTCGCTTAGGTCGTTGTACATTTATTTCGAATTTCGAGTTTTCTTTCCAATATCTTAGGGCGATATCTTATTAAATCCCATAAAACTCCAATGTTTTAACCGCGCAGGCACCTGCGCCCGCTCCGGGCGGGCTTTGAATGCAAAATTAGTCTTGTTTCTTTTTTACCACTTAGTTGGATCTCAATGCGAATAAAATTCAAAGGAAAATTGACGTTTTATGTCCTGCTTTTTATATGCTTTCATTGCAAACGTTTTTCAGGGCGGCCACAATAAGTAATAACAGTACGGAAATAAAATTGTCAATCAGAACAAATGCGATTACTGCGCTCTCTATTTAACTACCTACGTATAATACTATAAATATACAGACAATTCGGATCGGTAAGTATTGGTTTTAATGTTATAAATACCAATATTATTAATTTTATTAATTTAAAGAAAAATGTCTATATGTATGGTTTGTTTGGAATTATCTTAATTTCAAAGTGAGAAAGTAGAAAAAGTTTTAAAATACAGATTTCAATATGGATATCATATCTACAGTTCAATTAAAAAATAATATATTACTAACCCAATTAATTATATTATTCAACTAGGGAAATAAAGCAAAATATATCAATTCTGAAAAAGGAAAATCAATTAAAACTATAAGTATACCAAGCCACCTAGTCAACCTTGAAGCAATGGGATAACATTTGCCTATTATACGTAGTGACCCATCTCACTTTTAACTATATACTTAGTTATAACAATTTTTTAATCTGCGTAAAACGCTTCAATAAAATATCTTCTATAATAGGTATTTATAAATGACAAACAACCTAGTGGACCATCAGAAGGAAAGTAATAAGCGATGTCTGTATTTGTCTTTTCTTATATTAATTAAATTAAAATAAGTCCAAACTGTACTTGAAATATATTTCGAAAGATAGCGATACTAAGCCTATTATAATCATTATTTATTTTATTCCAGGAATTTTCTTGATATTACCGGAGCTATTATACAAGTGATTTACCTACAGTTCACTTTACACAGATCTGGTTTAACTGAAAGTACCCACTATAGCTTTTTGCGCTCAATTAGGGATATGCCAGTAAAATTATAGAGTGCAAGCGTATAACACCTTTAGTAATTTGAAATACATGAGATGAGACTTACAATGTATTCTGTAATATCTATACATAAAGCTTATTTACCACTTTCTACCATTTTTCAACAGGACAATTCAATGAACTGACGGTTTGTTTACGGTTTTAAACTGTGATTTTTTTTAACATTACTGTCACTCTACCTTTGGTTTCCTTTCCGTTGCTGTCTCTAAATACAATATTTCTTCCTTCCGTCCTCCTCCAAGATATATTAGGAAGTGGTACTCCTGTAGCGGTGCAGCGAAGTTCCACTGAACCGCCTTCCGGCGCGCTTGCTTCTGACCCATCCTCGTCAGCAATATCTGGTGGGATTACTACGGAGAGGTAACCCATCTGAGAACAATATTTTTGTTAAGAAATCAGATATGTTTAATTAATTTACATAATAGATATTAACTAGTCACCTGTGGGTTTGCCCGCATAAATCAAGATCAGACGTACTTTATATATTAATCTAGAATATGGTCTATCTATCTGATCTAATCTATCTGCTTACTCAATTTCATTAGAATTTGTTTATCCATTTAAGCATGTTTCACTGACAAATATGAATGAATATACTTTATTTGTATTAAACAATGTAGGAAATAAGCAAGATAATATGTAGTTACTTAAACATTAAAACATCTTTAGTCAATAAATTTTGACACTGAACTTTATAAATTTGGAAGTTTGTGAAGATATTTAGATGTTTAGCATTGAATTGCATTCAATATAAGTTACACTTAATATGTAAGTATATTGTATTACATATTAAATGTAACTTATTCTTTTAATAGTATACTATTATGTATGGAAATAATTCAAAGCATAAAAATAGTATACATAGTGTATGTACAGTAACTCGGTTCCAGTTTCTTAAATTGCTACTTAAATCTAGATTTAGTAAGCAACTTTTAGGTAAAGGAGGTTTTTAATTCGTCAGATTTATTTTTAATCACGAAATCAAATCAGAAATGTTATGAGTTTCCTTATATGAGGTGGATACCTACAAGAATTATATATATATACCTACCTAATGAAAAAAGGTTTCGTCAGTTCCCAGGGGATCGGCAGTTTCCTCCTAATATAAAATGTATATAATACCGCAAAGGCTTTTCGAAGGCTCTAATTTAATTAGTGTCATTGATTTAACGTACGTACCTCAGTAACAATTTATAATAATATTATGATTATATTTCTAATTAGGTCAGGTGTTTGTTACTTCGTTACAAGTTAATCCTTACTGCGTTCTCAATTTCTTTAGTACTTTTCATTTATAATGGAATGACAGCGTACACAATAATTTTGAACAATAATAACGGAGTAATTTAGACTACTTCGTTTAATTATTGTAATATAACAGGTAAATTAAAATATATCATGCGCGTTAACATCTTGCTCGGTTGAATTTTTGGTATTTAAATTTGATCCTTTTTTAGGTATATTTTTACGACAAACTCGAAGTTTCAATCACTGATTATATTACGATCACTTTAACGCACGTACATAAGTAAATAAATAATAATAATTTATTGTCTTATAAAAATTAAGGATTGGAAACAATATTGTTTTTAATAATTTTAATATATATTTTAATGGATTTAATGTTGAAATAGACAATTTACCCGCGTGCAATTTTTGTTAATGTCACTACTACTTATTTAACAGACTTTAAGTAAATTCTTATCAAATTTTTATTTAAGAAGAAGCTAGAACGTTATGTCAAGTAGTATAAAGTCGAAATTCCAATGATACAATCCAATAACGTGGTTGTAGCATTCGTAACTGCAATTATTTTTATAGCTACGACCAGTATCATTGAAATTTCAATTTTCCCGACATTGCTATGTTTTGTATGATTCTTTAATTGGATTGTATAACATACTAATTGTTTACCGTTATCAGTAATACCTGTGGAAATTTTTCAAAATTCTTCCTTAATTTAAAAAAATATCTTGATAGTTATTTTGCCGTACACCTGTACGTCAATAGAACTTCTGTGTAGAGTGGTTGTGGTAGGTACCAGAACCAGACGGACCAGAATGTGCGGTAAATATTAAAATAATAATATAGAGGCATTTAAAAAAATGTTATTTTAATACGCAGTCTTTTTAACTCTAGGTACTAGAACCACCACGTACCAGACGTTCTATTGACGTACCTCTGTAGGTCTGTTCTATTGACCTACAGATGTACTTCAATAGAACAGTCAAGATATTTTTTTATGTAATATTGTATAGACAATCTTTTTAAATAGATATATAACTATAGATTTATTTATACGTAATACTATATGATAAAAGATGTAGATATTTTTTTAAATATTTAAATAAAAATTATTATCATCTTTTCATCAAGTCGTCGTCCGTCGAACAAATGACCTCCTTAGATTGTTATTTTATAATTAGATAGTATTTCTCAGTATAAGTATTTATAAATCAGTATATACAGATATTACTAGCACTGTGCCCGTTATTTCATACCCGAGGATTTCAGAAGTAGGAAAATCAATCAAATAAACCATTTTAGATAGTCTACCAAGATGAAACATATACCAGATTTTAAAGTAGACCTTCAGGTTTACAACACATAAAAACCATATTTAGATTTGTGTACCAGTTTTTGCGTGATACCAGAACAAAATTACAAACGGACAAACAAACAAACATTCTAATTCCTAACAAAATATTGTTTTTGTTTCTGTTGCTCTTATTAGGACCAATAATATTAATAACCGATGTACATAACTATATATCTTTTTTTAAATATCTCTCATGCGCAGACATCGTCTAGTTACAATTTTATTATAGAAAATAAGATAAGATATAAGAAAAATATAAAAAAAAATTAAGATACAAAAAAGTCAAATTAAGAACTTCAACTTTTTTACAGTCGTTTGAATACGCGTAATGTTGCATAGTTACTAAATATTAATTAATAAATTAACACTAAACATTTTAAAGCATTACATATGAAGTAAATACCTATAAACTACAAACACCCTAAGGAATAGTATTATAGCCGTCCCTAAAACTAATTTACTCGCTGTAATCTGTCAATAAAGTGGAGATAAGCGACTTTGTAAATTGGAATTAAGATTATATAATTAAACAGCGTACGTAACAATATTAAGGTAGATTTATAATATTACGTATTTACAAGGTTGTTTTTCAGTTATTTTTTAATTCATATATATTATATAGTAGGTACAATAAAATTTGAATAATTAGAGATTAAAATAATAATAATTTAACACATTATTTACACATTATTTATTATTATTATTGTTGTAGTGTGTTTTAAGTAGATATTGAAATCACACTGTAGCCAAGTTCACAATTTAGTCTAGGTTAGATTTGTACTCTAAATTTATATGTTTGATAATAGTATATTGAGGGAGAGAAAAAAAAAAGATAAGATATGAGAGAAATACAGAAAAACAGAGCAGTACAGAGTGTATAGTTAGTAATCCTTTCTAACATAAGGGGAGGGAGGGAGACTTTGTACAAAAGTCGACTGCTTGGGTACCTCTGACCCATTCATGTTTCAACCGTGAAGCAGTTGTATTTGCATGGTTGTGTTTCGGTTTGAAGGGTGGGATATGGCGTGAATTTACTGGGTACAGAGAAATAACACCTGAGTCCTCAGGAATGGCAACGCATGGGGGGTATCATGGGCGAAACAGTATACTCTGTTACGTCCATGGTACTGCTCATGTCTATAGGCGACGGTCACCACTCTCGATCAGGTGGGCCGTCAGCTTGTTTGCCATTCTAAGTTGTATAAAAAAAAGTGTTTATTATTATTAAGTAATCATGTTTTGTTATATACATAGGGAAGTAAAATAATTTCAATAAAAATTTGATCCTAAGGACATTAAGTTCACATGTAAATAATGTTGACACCATTTATCAAAACTAAAACACCGGACAAACCTATTTTACCTATTAGAGTGTTCTATAAAATAGAAAAAAAAAATAGTATAAAGAATAAAGATAAAAAACTTCAATAACTAAAACAGGTTTATTAGAGTTTTTTTTTTTTTATATTATTAAGGTGGCAAACAAGCATATGGCTCACCTGATTGTAAGCGGTTACCGTAGCCTATGAACACCTGTAATATCTGTAGGGGCATTACGCGCGCGTTGTCGAATTTTTAACGTTTTTATAAATAAGGGGGTAGTAGTAAATTTTCATAATTATAATTATTACATAATGTTTTTATTACTAATGAGTAGTTATTTTATTATGTCTTAACTTCCAATATGTATACAAGCTCATGAAAATTTGCATTTAGAACACCCTATGGGTATGGTTTAATTTGAAATTGTAATATGAAATTACCCATACATGTAATAATTAAGGAACCCAATCGATTAGTCTCTCTCGTACGAAGTTACGAACGGAATCTGATAGTTTATATAAATCTCTCAATCTAATAAAGATCCCTATAATGTTATATGACGGTGTATTCTACTCATACCGAGTAGCCCAGCGGGTCGACTTTGACAAAATTCCTCAAATGCTTCTAGTGACACCGTTCTGACATTTTTAGTACTGGTAACAAAAATCGTAACTGGAATTTTTATACTGATGTATTTTTCTATCTACTACTTATGTACGAGACTGAATTATTTGTATTAGGATTATTTATAATCCTTACGATATCTATTGTGATGTTTATATAATATACATGACGGTAAACTCTTACAACATTTTGTCAAGTCAGGGAATCACAAATAAGCTGACAGCCTGCCAGCTTACGAGTATTTGTGATTCCCAGTAGAATAAAAGTCACAATTTCAGCAATATTTTAATTAAATCTCAACATTAAGCATTGTAAATATTGTTTAACATTAAAAAGAAATAAGAATAGAAACTATAAATATAATAGTAAACTTAAATAACTAAAAGTCATAAATTAACATTTATATTTGTACACAAATAAATCTTACAAATTATTTGTATTAAAAAAAATAAAATCTAATACTTAAAAACGGTTGCATATCAAACGGCAAAAGCGAGAGATTGTGATGGAAGATACGAGTGTTGTTCGCTTTCGCGAGCAAAGAAGAAACCTGGCGAATTTACGTCACCCGGCACGGACTTTGACAAAATTCTTTGCGACCGAGACCAGCGGACACTGACCAGGTCACATTCCTTATGCACACATACACAAGTTATAATTTAAAACTGCGCAGTAGGTATTAAACTTTATATTGTGAATAAAAATATATGCTCTCACAACATTTCAGGGATATTTTAGCGCTGAAGAGATAAAACGCTATTTCTTATTTCCGACTTATGCTGCAGTGTACATTTTTAAACAGACAGTTTTGTGTCATATAAAT